AAAAACGAAAAATTTTGCTATTCATCGACCAATGTCCAGCGCACCCATCGATACTAATTATTTTGGAAAATGTAAAAGCTCTCTTTTTTCCTGCAAATTGCACAAGTGCGCTTCAGCCATTAGATTTGGCCGTGATTAGAAATTTAAAATTGCATCATAGAAAGCAGTAACTTCAACTCGCTATTCAAAGCATTGTAGAGAATAATAGCAAGAAAATATAATTAAAGTTAACATACATTCAAATGGCTCACTGCAATTTTTCTCCTTTGGCTATTTGTTTGTTTTGCTTTGTCTAATTTAGAAATTTATGTAAATTAACACGTTAAACATTAAAATTAATTGACAACAGAGTTAGTTTCAGTTTTAGAAGTAAAAATCGATTATACGACGTTATCGTTTATACGACGTTTTTCGGTGGTCCCTTCGACGTCGTATAAACGATGCTCCACTGTATAATGAAATTGTACAAAATGTAAATGGTCTTTTTATTACTAGGAACAAGTTTAATTATTTAAATGAATATTTAGTAGTATGTATTTTTTAACATAAACAAAGAAAAATACTGTCTACCATGACAGTATTTGTGTTAATTACTTATCCTGATTTATAAGAATTTAACTCCAGTAGTATTATTAATATTTTTCTTACCATCAGTGTTTTTTTAAAATTCATTAAACTGCAGTATTGTTCTCTTGAATAGCCATTTCTTTTAGTTAAGTTTTTAACTAAGTTGTTACTAGGCCAATAAACACAATTAAAAACTGATGCAGTTTTATATCTCAAGACTGTAAAAAAATTAATAATAAATCTATTAAATAAATATAAAAAGTAAATTAAAAACTAACTTGTTAAATGTGAATATGAACTCTGTCTCCAAAGTCAAGCAAATGCCTACCAATACAGATTATCTCCCCACATGTAGTGATGTCATTTTCAACCAATTGCGTGGTTTTACCACTTTGAAATTTAATCGCTTGTGAAAATTGTGATTATTTGTGGTTAGAGTTTGTATGGAAGAAGTATTTATTTCTTAAAATGCTTAAGTGAAAATTAAAAAAACTGCATTTGGAGGATTAAAAAAAAAGTCAAAAATTTAAACTTATTGGAAGTTCAATTTCTAAGAGATATTTTTGTCTTTCTTATTAGATTTGAAGTGTTTCAAATTGATAATATATATGTTTTTTGTTAATTATGAGTACATAACTTTAAAGCTGTTATTTCATATTTTTAAGGATTGAAAAATTCTGTATAGTCATTATCTATAAAATTGTCTATTAAAATTAGTTTTTTCATTTTATTTAACTCACAAACTATGATTGTGTTGTTTATTTTAACTTTTTGACACTATTAATAGTGTTGGGAACTGCTGGTTACTTGTGAGCCATATATTTATTAGTTGGTTTGATAAACTCTTTCATTCTTAATTGTTGACAATATGCTTAGCTGAATTTATTGAAACTGTTCAGTCTTCATATCCTGTTATATCAAAATGCTTATCTACATAGCTTTTAAATCAGAATTTGACTGTCGCTTTTTCATTTTAATGGTTTGAGGAATATTCACAGGAACTTGGAATAATGTATTTGAATGTTACTCATTGTTGCTTTATAGATATACAAATTGAATTGATTTATGCTACTAATTCACTAATTTCAATATTATATTATTCATTAATTGCAAGTTATTCTCATCGTTTTCCAATTTTTTAATTAATGAAAGTATTCTTCATGTTCATTTAGATTCCTGTAGTGGAAAATATAAAATACTTTTCTTTTTTTATTTTGAAAATAATAATTAATAAACAAATTATTCATAGTCATTACCCTAAATGAAGCAAACCATGTTGTTAATTCACTACATTTACTATTACATCATACAAGAAGATTAAATCACAATTTATTCACTTAATTTCCTAATTTTTAATTTTTTTTAATTTTTATTCTGTGTGAAATCATTTCTTTTTTTGAAAATAACATTTAATAAAAGAATTGTAAGCATTGCAATTTCTTTATTTCACTTTTTAAAACTTTAAAAATCATTCAGTCCTTGAATTATGAAAGGTAAAAAGTAGATTAAAAAATTCATAAATCATGCTTTAAATATAAATTTTCTTATTTTTATTAAATATCCTGTTTAATATATATGTAACAATATGTAACAATCTAGGTGTTGATTTTTTGTTGTTGTAGCACAGTGATTAATATTTATCTTTTAAACTTTTAGGATGCCATTGGAGTAACATTAGGAGCCATTATTGGACATGGCATATGCACTTCTCTTGCTGTTATAGGTGGTAGAATAATAGCACAAAGGATATCAGTCAGATCTGGTGAGATATTTTGTTAAGCAACTGAGCATATGATATGAATTATTTTTGTTAATTTATCGAATAACGCAAAATATAAAAATTTTTTATGCACTAGAAATTAGAATAATGAAATTTAAAATTATGTACACTTTTTAAGTATTGTAATTTATCATTTTCATGCAAGAAAATTCTCTATTACACCTCTTTCATTTCTTAATAATGCTACTTTTTAAACAAATTTTGCTCCTTTAATCACTTTTTCTATTACATTAATGCAAGTTATTGAATTACTAAAATATCGTTAAAAAATGCAGACTTTTATTTTTTATATATTTTCTGAAAATTGAATACAGGAAAATTATATCTGATTAGTTTCAGTTCCAATGCAAATTTGTTGATTTTCTTTTTTTTTTCTCCTGAGAATGGTACAGTTACTTTCTTATTGCAACAATTTTAGTATAGTTTTAAACATAATTCACTCACAAGTCAACTATAGAACTAATTTATTTTCAATGAGTTTTTTCTTTAAAAAAAAAAACTGAATTTAATCTGCATTCATGTTGCCCGAAAAAGAAGAACAAGAAAACTTTCCAATGTCTGTGAAAATAAATTTATTCCATCCCTTAAAGGTTTCACAGATTTTTCTTATAATGTTGATGAATACAAATCAAATGTAGAGTGGGAAAATTAAGAAAATTTTTATGCAGAAAGTAATAATTAAAATACTTGAAAACCATTAAAGGTACTGCAGATTTCTATTGTAAAATTAATTAATACAAATAAATAAAAGACAGTGCCGTATCTTAGACTAATTTTAATTTTTAATTTTTTTACGTAGAAAGTAATATCTCAAATAGCTTATATACCATTAAAGGTAAAACAGATTTATGTTACTATGTTATAAATACAAATAAGTTAGAGAGTGTTACACCTTGGGCCAATTTTAATTAATTATTTATTTTCTGCAGAAAGTAATAATCAATTTTGTGGGAAAACCATTTTATATTAATATCTATTAATATGATTTTTTGCAACGAGTTTTGTCACACACATCAGATTGTTTTTTAAATGAGTAAAATTGGACCAAGGTATTTTATCTTGGGCCGTCATATCTTGTACATAGGACCATTGGATGTTACTCCTTGGGTAAAACACACACAGATATTATCAACTATATATACTGAATGCAAATTTCTCTCACTGGTGTTGCAAATAATTACACTTGCAGTCAAAGTAAACACCACAGTCTTCTGTGTTAAATTTTTTTTCTTCATATTTTCACAATTATCAATAAATTTTTTTTTTTATCGTCTGTGGGAAATTTTAATCTCAAGATTTTTAACTTAGAATCTCCCATTTCTTAGTTAAAGTTGAAAGCAAAGTAAAGGATTGCCATATTATAGCCAAAGTTTATCACTTTTGTCCTATTTCAACTCATATAGCAAAAATATACTACAAAAATACTTTAAATAGTTGAACATTAATCAAATTCCTTTATTAAACAAAAATAATGGATATGTTGTGTTTGTTTTAAAACAAAAGTAAGGAGAACTGAAGTTCAAAAATAAATAAATAATTCTATATTTAAAAATATGGTGAAAGTTGTTGTTGCTGTTGTTAATTTACGTCGCACTAGAGCTGCACAATGGGCTATTGGCGACGGTCTGGGAAACATCCCGGAGGATGATCCGAAGACATGCCATCACAATTTTGATCCTCTGCGGAGGGGATGGCACCCCCGCTTTGGTAGTCCGACGACCTGCGCGCAAAGTCGAACACTTTACGATACCACAGTTTAACGAGGACCAATACCGCACACCCTCGGTCCCTACGCAGACTGATCCAAGTGGTCACCCACCCGCACACTCAAATTTTAAAAGAGAAATGTATAATTTTTTTTAAGTTAATGCTTTTACAGATCGGTAAATGAATATTTATTGACATTTTCAAAAATTTAATATGATTAAAATCAAATATTATTGGCAAAAGTACAAAATAGCTATTTTTAAATTTCTGTCATAAATTATCTGTGAGCTGATTCAAACATGTTGATAGTACAAAGGTGGGATGTTTATCTCAAAATGCAGAACTTATGTATAAAAAAGCGAGGAAGTAAAGTAAACACTAAGGAGCCTATACTAGTCAGGATATCAAATAGTAACTTTCAGATATATGTGTACTTTCAGATATGTATACTGTATACTTTTTGAAAATTATAACAAAACTTTGCGTGATCTTAGCTCTAAAATTTCCTAGTAATCTCTTTATTGTCTATTTTCTCATTCTTTTCCCTTTTGTTTTTGATTCAGACATAGATTTTTTTTTTACCACACATTTATATGACCGTAAACTATTTAGCTTGAATATGCACCACATAGCCATTCCTGTCATTTATGCCATTAAACAATATGTTTAATACAATTTCTAACCATTAATCAAGTAAATATTAAAAAGAAATTTGAAATTTATTAACCTTTAAAAACTACTATCTGGAATAACTTTTTGTTTATGGCTGGTATAGCTAGTGGATCAGAGTAAGTCTTTAACATGCTAAATTGTAGAAGATTAAATTTTAGCTTTGGTTTTGCTCATTGATAAGATATCTATAAAAAGTTTTTTATTGATTAGTGAAATTTAAATTCTAAGAGATTAATTTAATAGAATATAATTTTCAACTGCTGTTGCGGTTAAAAATTATATTTAAGGTAATATTTATGGAAACATATTGAAACTTTTCTTGATTTAGCTCTGTATTTATTACAGTACTGCACCATTTTTTTTAATAAAAAAATATAATTATTCTGAAAATGTGCAATTTTCTCCAAAATAAATTCAAATACGTTCTTCAAAATAGTTTGTTATTTGACACCATCCTGTACTTACCTTTTAAATATCCGAAATTCTTTTGAACATGTTGAAAAAGTTCATGAAGTGAGCATTTTTAAATGGAATCAACTTTTTTACTAAATTTTAAATTATGTGGAGCAAATAATTACCAATCTCAAGATCATAGATTCTAGGACTTCTGTGAATCAAAAATTTATACGTAGACATGATTTTTTCCCCCCGAGTTCTGCTATTTTAAAATTTTAATTTCTTAACTTAATCAAAATCTTAACTTAATCAAGAATTCTATAATTACCAGCACCCCCCCCCTCATTATTGCACAAAGGAACTTTTTTTACAGGGAAATTGATTAAGTGTGAAACCTAACTTCAGATAGAGAAGAAAGATTAAGGAATGTCTGTTTTCGCTGAGAAAAGGTACTTCTAAAATTTCAAGCATTTAAAAGATTTTTCGTTCCAGAAATTTAGTTCTTTGCCCCCCCCCCCTTTAAAAAAAAAAAACTTTTTTGAAGCTNAAAAAAAACTTTTTTGACGTTATAAAGCTATTTTGTGATCAGTGTTAGACAGTATGACATCATCTACAAGTGGTTATTTCGTTAAAATTTTCGATTTAAAACAGTAGAATTATTCTCCAATGTGATATATTTGTCTCTTTTTTCTTCATTTGCCTACTATAAAATCAAATCAATATTTGTAATATATTACGACATAGAAATTTTTAATCCTGCATTTAAACAATCACTTTATAACGCATTCAATTCCGTCATTAATCTGTGTGGTTTTCCAATAATTTTTTTTTACAATTGCTTGTGATTTTCACATGATTTTTAATATCTGATATCATTTTATGCAGAATTTGAATTTAGATATAGTTTTCTTGACACTCTCTATTTGCACCGACGCCATGATAAATCAATGATGTGTTTCAATTGTTTTATCGCAGGTTGCTGCTGCACATTTTTCCAAGGTTTATGAAATCCGTTTACTTTCTATTCACAAATTTGTTTAACTGTGTCCTATGCCGTCAATTTCCTTTGCAGTTTTTCCCACAGAATTTATGGTTTTTAAAGTTCCATTATACAGTCGGACCTGTTTATCTCAAATCTCGTGGGAAAGGCAAAAAATTTAAGATAAAGAGGTTTCAAGTTATACATGTACCTTAAAAGTTAAACTTATTAAGAAATTATCTTAAAAGTGCGTTAATTTTTTTAGTAGAAAAATACAGGCATTTCTATAAATTAATTATACCACATACATTTATTTAAGAATTTCTTTTAACATACATTGAGCACTGAAAATAATTTTTCAAAGATTTTTAACGTCTAACCTTCTTTGTTTGGATAGCTCTTTTAAGGTTAAAAAGAGCAGCAAATCCCCCATAGCCAATATTTTCTTAGGATTTAAGAAAACTTTGTAAGAGTTCTACAGCGTTTCCTGCTTCTTTTGCTCTCACTTTTTCTTCATCAATATGATTTTGCACTCTTTCATCTGATATTCCTTTGTCATTATCTATGATTTCCGCATCTGTCAATTTCCCGCTTGTTGCCAGGCAGTTGTCCACTAGTAAAAATCTTTAACTTAAATTTCAACATCAAATCCCGATTTTATTGCATTCCATTCTTGCATTTGACACTGTATTTTCAATGTCAACAGTTTCTTCTTCTTTACCGAAGCCTTCAATCTCTTGTTCATCATCTTTACAGCTATTTTTAAACCTAACCATTTTAAAACCATTTTGGATAATTTTTAGAGGCACATATTTCCTAGCAGAACAGTTGTTCTGATAACAGTCATTCTGATAATTTATTTTTGGAAGAGAACTTTTTTCATAAATGACATCTACAAGTTTTCATACCAACTGTTTTCAATAGTTCACCTTAAAATTCCTAATTATCCTTTGATCCATTGGTCGCAATTTTGAGGTGAAAACGAATTTTCTATTCCCAGCTTTCTTATCTGTGTTGAAAAGTTAACCCCTGCTGGTCACTCCCTCCTACTCATCAACCCCTCACTTACTGCCGGAATCTTTGTATTTTTTTACGAGTTAAAGAAGTGCAAGGACAATTATCGAAATTCCAAAAACACCTCGAGCTTGTTGCTCTCTACTTCCTGTGCTTTCACGTAATTCATCTCCTACTGCAAGTTCTACTGATAAAGAAAGTTATCTTGCTCAGA